AAGGAGCACAGCTAACCAAGGAGCAGCTAACCAAGGAGCAGCTAACCAAGGAGCAGCTAACCAAGGAGCAGCTAACCAAGGAGCAGCGGCAAAGCCGCACTCTTCTTCCCCAACCTTAAATTTAGAGGAAGCACTTGGCACATACTCTCTTTATATCCACACTCAAAAAGACCCTTAAAAATAAGAGCAACAGAAAAAGTAGCAAACTATTCTATCATTTGATTTGGTAAAAAAACCAAAAGTATCCAGGAAAATCGTAAAAACAGAGCTGGAGAACTTACACTGACAAGTATCAAGCCTGGTGGTGCAGGCCTGTAATTCCAGCTTCTTGGGGAGGCTGTGACATGAGGATGTTGCCTACCTGGGCTACAGAACAAGTTCAAAGCAGCCTGGGCAACTTAGTGAAGCCATCTCAACACAAAAAGGGGGTGGGGCATGGGGGCTACAGCTCAGAGGTAAGGACTTGTTAGACAATACAGGAGGCAATAGCTCCTGTAATCCCAGAACTCCTGGCTGCTGAGGCAACATTACTGAGTCAGATCACACTAGGGTACAGAGAACATTTCTCAAAAACGGGGGAGGCAAATGTTGTAATGGCTTAGTAGGTAAAGGTGGCTGGCACCATCTAGAAGACCTAAGTTTGATCCCCATTGGAGTATTAAAAACACTAGCTATGAAAGAAAATGATGACCTGGGCTATACAAAAATTAATAGAACACTATTTTATTAGGGCAAGACTTTCATGGGTGGCCGTTATTGGCAAATAACAATATTAAAATAAGCAGCCCATGCTGAAATGTATGACAATGGGTAACTGAATTTCTCCTACCAGAATTCTAAGCTGTCCAGAAATGGCTTGTTATTATTTCTGTTATCTGAGTAGCTTACAAAGGAAATGCAGCAGCCTCTCCTCCCTTTCCCTTCCTGTCCCCAAAAACATCATGTACATGTTCTCTTACCAACTCTTTCCTTATGTCCCCAACAATATTCACCCCACTAAATAGTCAGCAGAGCCCTTAGAGAGTTCAAGGTCACTGCTACCTATTACAGCAGTTCTCAACCTGTAAGTCCAGACCCCCTTGGGAAACTTCTAACTTCAAAAACAAATCATAAGAGTAGAAAAATTACAGCTACAAAGTAGCAACAAAAATAATTATATGGTTGGGGTCAGCACATGGGAACTGTATTAAAGGGTTGCAGTTGATCTATTATATCAGCTGTTCTCTGTTCTGTGATACATTTCTCTCTTATTACTCCTCAAAGTCATAGTGCTGGCACAGTCCTGGCAGCCTGGCACTCAGGAGCTAGAGGCAGAGGATGGCTTATGAGTTCAAGGTCAGCCAGGGGGAGAGCAACACCATGCCTCAAAATAAAATTCTTCCATTAACTGTTTTTCACTTGGTCTACAAAAGATTAACCCAAATCCAACAAGTATTTAAGCTGTGGAGACTCTTGTAGAAAAGTAGGTCAGGGGGACAAAAAGCCAGTTGCAGTGGCGAACACTGGTACGATTTGCTGAAAGAGGCAGGAGGATCACGAGTTCAAGGCCAGCCTGGGCTACAGATTTTACTAGGCAGTGGTGGCACAAGCCTTTAATCCTAACACTCTGGAGGCAGAAGTAGGTGGATCTCTGTGAGTTCAAGGCTAGCCTAATCTACAAAGGAGTTCCAGGACAGGCTCCAAAGCTACACAGAGAAACCCTGTCTCAAAAAACCAAACCAAACAAACTATACCCTAAAGGTGATTTTAGGGACTAGGAGGGTAGCTAAATAGAACACTGGCCTATTATGCTATGGCCCTAGATGATTCTCAGAAATGTTAAAAAGAGAGAGAGAGAGAGAGAGAGAGAGAGAGAGAGAGAGAGAGAAAGGAATAAAGTTGAGCCACACTCAGTAAGCAATCTGAAGGCAGTCAAGCAAGTAACCCTGAAATTCTAACTGTGGCAAAGATCAATTTTATGAAGTGGTTTTTAAAGAACCTCGTTTTTTTGAGCCTGTTTGGTGGCCCATGCCTGTGATACCAATACTTAGAAGGCTGAGGCGAGAGTATCTTGGGGTCCTGGGCTACCTGGTGAGTTTCCACACCAGTCTAGGCTAAATAGGAAGTCCCTGTCTTGAACAAAACAGCTGTGCATGATGGTCCTTAGCCTCAGCATTGGAGAAGCAGAGGCAGGTGGATGGATCTCTGTAAGTTCCAGACAGGTAGGATTACACAGCAACACCCTGACTCAAAAACAAACAGTAATACCTCACTTTTATTTCTGATAAATAGATAAATGCACAATTACAAAAACAATGTTTCAGCTCCTGGTAGCCCAAGTCAATCATCCAGCACTAGGAAGGCTGAAGCAAGAAGACTACAGTTTTCCTGTCTCAAAAAGAAAAATGATCTAATAAAACAGATAATATTGAGGGAAATTACCACTTGTAATATAGGACATACAGAAAACAAAAAAAGCAATAATCTCTAAAAGTTAACTCCAGTTCCAGGGGATCCAACTTCCTTATGGGGAGACTCACTTTATTCAAAGGAAACAAAAAAAAGAGAGAGAGAAAATATCCACTCAAATAAAAGTAAAAAATGTTGGGGGAGGAGAGCAGGAATGAAGTGGAAATGTAGGAAAGCATACAGCCTAAGCTATTCTTTTTTGTTTTGTTGTTGTTTTGAGACAGGGTCTCTATGTAGTCTTGGCTTCCCTGGAATTCACTATGTAGACCAGTGTGACTTGAACTCACAGAAATCTGCCTACCTCCACCTCCCAAGTGCTGGGATTAAAGGTGTGTGACAACACGCCTGATCACCCAAGTTATTCTTGAACTCATGATCCCTCACCACCATGTCTGATACTTTACTGAAACCCTTCGTATGCTGAGGAGTTCTGTGTGCAATTAATAAAGCAAAATGTGACTCTTACCATGGACTTTTTCACATTCTTGTAGTATGGGTTCCATCCTATGCTCACCACCATTTTATGGACATCTCCACTCCCGACACTGGCCCAGCCATAATAAATGCCAGTGGACACATCAGCTGGAAGATTGTCTACTACTTGTTCAGGAAAATTGGCTAAAAAGAAATAAACAGATATTCAGCATTACAAGTTTCATACTAAATACTGATTAATAGCACATTAAAAGGTTAGCCTGAAGACACTCCGACTCCCAGTCCAACCCTCCATATTCTGGCTGGGATTTCTTCTTTGCAGACGCACAGGTTAGGAATGAGGCAGAAAGCAAGTGTATGATATCTCAAATATCTACACGAAAATGTCCAAGTGGAAAGAAAGACATAAAATAAACGGGGAGGCTCAACGGAGATTACCCATACCTCTAGTCCCACTATGAAAGATCTGAGCTCAGGAAGTAGGCTGGCAGCCTGGGAAACAGAGCCAAGTCCCGTCTGTTAGAATTAAAACAAACGAAGCCCCACCTCTTTCCTAGTAACGCTCCTAAGTAGGCTGAGTCACTTAAACAGATTCTTATTTTCAAAATACACAAACCCACATCCCAAGTTCAATGGGCCAAGAAGCAGCCTAGGTATCATCTTTAAGGGCGGGCAGCAAAATCTTGATTACTAAAACTCACACGTAGTCAGACCAAATAAACGTTGGCTCTCATAGAACTACCCCCGCTGTCAATGATCACTATATCTGAAGAATAGAACTTTGAACAGCTTGAGAGTTCGGCCAATCCATCCTGCAATACCCTCCCGGACC